TTAAGTTAAGTTAAAGTTAAGTTAAGTAAGTAAGTAAGTATACTAACGTAAGTAGTAGTAGTAAGTATATATTATTATTAGTTAGTAGTAGAGAGAGAGAGAGAGAGAGAGAGAGAGAGGGCATATTAAAATTTTAGAGATTAGAATCTACATCAAATTTTAGATAGCGAAACTGCCAGAAATCTTTTAGAGAGAGAAACTATATCAAATTTTAAGTTTTAGAGAGAAAATATCTTAAAACTTTAGAGAGAGAAACTCTATCAAATTTTATATAAAGAAAGTACCAGAAATTTTTAAGGAGAAAAACTATTTAAAAAAAGATTTAGATAGAGAAACTATATCAAATTTCAAGTTTTAGAGAGTGAAAGTACACTAAAATTTTAGACACAGAAACTACTTGAAAATTTTAGGGTGAAAAACTATCTCAAATTTTAAGTTTTAGAGAGAAAAAATATCTTAAAACTTTAGAGAGAGAAACTATATCAAAGTTTTGATAGAGAAAGTACTTGAAGGTTTAAGAGAGAGAAGCTATTTAAAAAAAATTACATAGAGAAACTATCTTAAATTTTAAGTTTTAGAGAGAGAGAGTATATTAAAATTTTAGAGAGAAAATTACTTGAAAATTTTAAAGAGATAAACTATCTCAAAATTTAAGTTTTAGAGAGAGAAAGCATCTTAAAATTTTAGATAGAGTAACAACATCAAATTTTAGAACGATAAAGTACCTAAAATTTATTAGAAAGAGAAACTATCTTAAAGGTTTTAGAAATAAACTATCTCAATTCTCAAAATTTTTAGAGAGAGAGACTATTTCATATTTTAAGATTTTGAAAGAGTGTATTAAAATTTTAGAGAGAGAAACTATCTCAAAATTTTGAGAGAGAGAGAAAGATCTACATTGCCAAAAAATAGATATTCCATACAATCCAAACATGCAATTTGCATTTTTTTAATTTCTACCAAATACGATCTAAACAACATACACCATATTCCAAGCAATGTAAATTCCAGTCAATCTCAATTCTAGGATTGATTTTTCTTAGGATTGAAAAATCCAAGGATCCAAATGGGCCGTAAGGGACATGGGATCTTCGTTCTGGGAATACTACGTTTTCCAAAAAAGAATACACTCGAATTAATAATAATCACATAAACTGAGAATTTTGCCCGTTTATTTTTTAAACATAAAAATTGATTTCCATTAGAGCTTTAAATTCTTAATGCAAAAAAAAAAAAAAAAAAGAAGAAGAAGAAGAAGAGAGGAAAAAGAAGGGTACGAGGAAGCCCCACAAAAGCCAGTGTATTACTCAACTTGAGTTCTTTAGGTCACAATAACCTATAAATTTGGACCCTAGTGCAATTTGCTAAAGATAACTAGGTCGGGAAAATACATCATCTCGGATCAATCAAAGTTGAATGCAATGATCAAAGCTCTAACTCAGTTGCCTCCGACATCTATGCATGATAAAGCGACCCAAAAATTCGTCATCCATAAAACGCCATGCCAGATAAATTTTCATGTAGTTCAGACTGAAACGTTTGTGCATACAATAAGCAACATCCAACATGTACAATTGTGATAATGCAACAATGTGGAAAATATCAGACAAACAAGAGAAAAAGAATCAGGATCATCACAATTCAACCCTCTGAATGGCAGTGATCAAGACCAGGCTGTCTATACTTCCCGATTTCAACACCATGGTGTCTCCCAAAGTTCTTTGTACCACTTAATGCCACTTGCTGAACCTCCTTCCACATGCAATGTCTATCCTCTTCAGAAGTCTCCAAGGCTCTGAATGCACTCCTAAAAGGTCCTACTATTATCTCTCATTATTTCAGTTCAATCCATTCTCTCTCTCTCTCTCTCTCTCTCTCTCTCTCAGTTCAGTTTGAGTCTATGCTGCTTTCATCTGACAGAAATCAGCATGATAGAGCTGATTATAGTGGGTTTTTATCAACACCAATATCATAGAAAAATTGACTTTCCTTCTACTGCAAACTGATGTCCTCCAGTGTTGGTGAGACCCACCCATGAATGGTATCTATTATCACAGGTATTGTAATCTTGGTTGTGATGGGTAAATGGGGAGCATACTAGTTGGTTCGCAGAATCACCTTCAAGACATGGCTGATCCCCTTAAAGGTGGTGTTATTATTATTATTTTAATTGATTTCATATAATTTTTTTAAATGATATATAGATGCTTCAAATGTCCCCTTTCAAATACATACTCCAACTATCCATTTGATCGATGATCGATCTATAATTTAATTAGTTTGAAAACATTGACACTTGTTTTTTTTTAAAATGTTATGGTCTCAAAAAATTTGATAAAAAGGAGACCCCAAACTATTTTTTTAAGGGCTAAGCCACCTAATTAGGTGGTCAGACACTGGTCAAGAGAAGGATTGTATGATATGATTGTAGCTGCTGCATTTCTTCCCTTCGAATGAATTCTTGCCCCTCTCACCCAAACAGGCAATGGATCACTTGAGATTGGGACTTGGAGTTGTCATAAACCACAAACTCTTGAATCCAACCATTAGCCTCACCCAAGCTAGTCCTCTCTCTCTGATGAATCTCTCTCTCTTTAACACCCCATTTCTGAGGCCCCCTTCTCACCAATCCCTTCTCTCTCTCTTCATCCTCCACCCAGTTCCCCAACTACATTCTACACATCCCTTCTCTCTCATCAACACCCATCTTTTCTGAAATGAATCCAACATCGGGTACATAGCCAGCAAGGTTCAGGTGCACCACCATCTCATCCAACATTCCATATATCTCCTCAGACTGAGGATGAGACATACCACAAGCCACAAACTCATGAACCTTGCCCCCGATCTCGACTGAGCTAAATCCAGGGGCCTTTTGAACCCTTCTCTCTCGCATCAAAACCCTAATTCTTGCAACCTCATCCCACCTATTCTCCTCTGCATAAATATTTGCCAATAACACATAATACCCACTATTACCAGGCTCTAACTCTAATAAATTCTTGACTGCAATTTCAGCCAAACCCACATTGCCATGAATCTTACAACCCCCTAAAAGAGCACCCCATATCACTGCATTAGGCTCCATTTCCATGCTTTCCATGAGCCTTACTGCCTCCTCTAAGTGACCTGCTCGCCCTAAAAGATCGACCATACAGCCATAGTGCTCAATCCATGGCATAATGCCATGTTCATGGGTCATCTCATAGAAGTATCTTTGGCCTATTTCGACAAGGCCTATATGGGCACAAGCACTGAGAACCCCAACAAAGGTCACCCCATTTGGTTTAACTCCTGATCTTTCCATCTTTTCGAAGAGCTTGATGGCTTGCGTGCCATGTCCATGCATGGCGAGCCCCTCGACCATTGAGTTCCAACAAAAGAGGTTCTTCTCAAGGAGCTTGTAGAAAACCAGAAGGGATCTCTCTAAGCTCCCACATTTTGCATACATATCGATCAAAGAGGATCCTATAAAGACATCGAGATTGAAACCATTTCGGCTAACATAGTTATGTATCTCTCTCCCAAAATCAAGGCCCCCTAGGTGTGCACAAGCTGAGATCACCGTAGCCATGGTTACTGCATCAGGGCTCACAGTTTGGGCCTCCATCGTTTTGAACACAGCTATAGCCTCTTTAAACCTTCCATTTTTTGAAAAGCTCGAGATCATGGTGGTCCAAGAAACCAAATCCTTATGACTCATTTCATCAAAGAGTGAAGCTGCTTTTTCTATATCACCACCCTTTGAGTAGCCATCAATCAAAGCATTCCATGAAGCTGTGCTTTTCTCAGGCATGGCATCAAAGAGTTCTTGAGCAAATGCCAGTTCACCAATCCTGCAATGACCTGAAATCATCGCGGTAAAAGCGACTGCATCCCTAGCCTCCATTTCATCAAACACCTTACGAGCATTTATAACCTCACTACAATTCGAGTACAAATCGATCAGTGCAGTTCCAACAAAGACCTGAGAATTCAAACCCCATTTCAAAGCTTGGCCATGAATGGATTTTCCTAAGCTCAAGCCAAATACTTGGGTGCAAGCCTTGATCACAGAAGAGAAAGTGTAACTGGTTGCTGAAACAGAGGAAACCAAGAGCTTCTTGTACATGGAAATGGCCTCTTGATAAGAATGGCAATGCACAAAGCCTTTGATCATGGAGTTCCAAACGAATATGTTGGGCTTTTGCAAATGGGCAAACACTGAAATAGCATAGTCCATTGAGCCTGTGCTCGAGCAGGCAGAGACGAATTGGTTTACTGCAAAAGAGTCGTGAGAAAGAGAAATTTTGACCATGATGGCGTGCATCTGTTTCAGCTGGGGTGTTTTCAAGCATTTCTTCAAGAGAGAGAAAATGAGGTCATGGGGTGCTGCTAATGGAGAATGGGAAATGGAGATAACAGTTTTTTGGAGGAGGGTTTTAGTCATGGAAGCTGAGAGAGTAGAGAAGGGAAATAAATTGAGTGCAAACAAATTAGTAGCATGGTCATCGATCTAGACAACCAGTTTCTCCCGCAGCAAACATTCAATTTCAAATTATGGTAACGAGAAAAGGGCAAGTTTTCGATACATCCTCTGATGTATAAACTCCTATACTTCCCTATCCAAATGTCCAACGATTGAGTGTACTATTTTATTTTTATTTTAAATTTTGTTTTTATGAAACGAAATTTTGAGCATCCACCCTTTTAAACTCGCATATGTAAAAAAATAATAAAAAATATTCTCAGTAAAATAACTAAAATGCCTGAAAGTTTCAATTGTATTTCAATTATTATATTTTACTGAAAATATTTTTTAATATTTATTTTAGGTGCCCCCTATTGAGATGATGGGGAGTACCAAATTTCATATTCTTATAATTTGTAGAAAAAATTAAAATAAAAATACTCTGAAACATTTGATCTTAAGATCAAATGGTCAATAGCTCACTTGATCAAAATTTCATATTCATATAATTTGTAAAAAAAAATGTCAGATCTAGATCAAACGATCAATAGGATCAAAATTATACAGCTATCCATAGAGTAAGGAAAGTATAGAAACCTTTCCCTTGAAAATGTGAAGAGTCTCGGGTTTCTCTGAAAAGACTCAGTGTAAACATATAAATATACAAACTTGTATTTTATAGACAAATTAAAGATGACAATAATATAAATAAATCCTATACTATACCCAGAATTACCATAACTACATGATATTGTATCTACCATTCCGAAATATTTACAATATACACCTAGAGCGGCAGGAATTTGAACGCTAATTCTTAATCTTTAGGTGTATAGCATGACCAGTAAATATAATGGTTGTCATGTTTAGATTGCTTGATTAACAAACATAGAAAGCAGTGGCAGATCAACAAGCCTCAAGATTAGATGGTCTCAGGAACTAAGGGCTATATCAGCGTAGGCTCTACAAAAATTCCAAACAAAGCCGTCGAGACAGCTGAGAGAATAAAATGGCATCTGGAAGAGCTAAGTGAACTCGGTGTGGATCCGAGATGGATTCAGCAGCTCGCATACCAAAGCCGACACGATCGAGTAACAGAACAAATAACTCAATCCTTAAAAACAAACAACAAGAAGATGAACCAAGTAAAACCTTTTTTTTTTTTTTTTCTTGGGACAAATTTTTAAAGAGGTTTCCTAATAGATTTGACGGGATTGGGCGAATGGTTGATTTTTCAAAGACAAAAGGTTTCTTCTTCAGAAGGGCATAACACACTTTACTTCTTTTTTTTCTTTTTCTTTTTTATAATAGAGAAAACCTACTATTTTCAGTGTTCTATCAAACAAAGTAAGGCAACAAAAATGTCTCTCTAAAAGCTATAATAAACGAGACCCACCAAGTTCAAAGGATAAAAAGAAGAAGTGTAGCCACCACAGAACAAAAGAAGACCACAAATCCACCAACCAGGAACCCCATTGTGATACAGAACAGAAAGATGCAAACAGTAGATGCAATATAGCCATTGGTGACGCTATGTCACCAATAGAACAGCCATATAGATATTTAGGCCACATGCTGCTACATGTGAAAAGTCCTTCATGGAAGTTGCCTTTGTCCATATAAAGCCTTGCTAGTCAGTAGCTATGTTCATCTATTGAAGGTCTTCGCCGGTAGTTTGTTAACACCTCTGACAGAGAGTTGTTGAGGGCATCATCTTTGTAACTCACATGAAATTTATCCTTCGCTACTTGAACAAGAAGATGCAGCAACCGGGAGAACCTCAGATCCAGATGAGGAGCAAGAATTAGCAAGAAGAAGGAAGAACTTGATATCCCCAGATGAGGAGCAAGAATTAGCAAGAAGAAGGAAGAACTTGATATCCAGATGAGGAGCAAAAATTACTGAGAGATGGTGGATTAAAAAAACATAAAAAGAGGTGGCCGAATAATTATTGAGAAAGAATCTCAGAAAGAAAAATAGATCAGAGAGTCGAAAACGACTAGGCAGATAAACAGATTCGAGAGTCTTTTGGGATGTGATGCAAAAGAATTAAACCTTATGGTACTGTACCTCTTATCAACGGGTATTTTTATAACTAAAATAAGCTTTTTTAGTAGAGGTCCATAAAAAGGCGTTTTTTAGATAGAAAAACACGGGTGAGTGACGGAGAAAGGGCAATTGTAGAGAGAAGCTTGGGGTTAAAAATTGGGGGTTTTTGTAACAAAACCCTAGCACCACCATTTGGAGCTCATTTTGGGTTGTTTTTTGGAACACGATATCGGTGAGTGAGTCCATATAAGAAGTTATTTTGTTTGAGCTTTCTTTGAGATTGTATAAGGTAACTCTACATAACCCCAATCTTGTAAATTTTTCCTCTGATACATCTTTGCCATCTTGCTCGTGGACGTAGCCCATCTTGGGTGAACAGTAACCCATCGTGGGTGAACCACAGCCCGTGGACGTAGCCCATCTTGGGTGAACCACATATATGTGCGTGTCCCTCTCTATTTTCATTTGTGTTGTGTTTTGATGATTTTCATATTGTTTTTTATATTTTTTCCAATTATATTGCACTTGTTATTGCATATTGGGCATATTATTTAAGTGTTTAAATGATTGTAGTGTAGTGCTTACTACATCTAGTGAGATTTGAGATATCCCGATTTGCTCAAAAGGGGTGATTGGGTTATCCGGATTTTACAACAAGTGGTATCAGAGCTCAAGGAATTAGTGTAATATTTTTTGGGAAAATGACATTTCACAAGTTTGAGGTGGAGAAGTTTAATGAGAAAGATAATTTTGAAATTTGAAAATTAAAAATACAAGATTTATTGGTACATCAAGGGCAACACAAAACATTATTTGGAAAAAATAAAAAACCGGTAAATATGACCGATGATGATTGGGCCGAACTCGATATGAAGACACGGGCCACTAGTCGTTTGTGTTTAACGAATGAAGTTTTGTTTAATATTGTTTGTGAATAGACAGCAAAAGATCTTTGGGATAAATTGAAAAGTTTGTATCAAACAAAATTTCTCACAAACCGAATTTCTTAAAAAGAAAATTATATTCTTTGATAATGAAAGAATGTGCAAATGTGTCAGAACACTTGAATGAGTTTAATAATATCATTTGTGAACTTGAGGGTATATGTGCAAGAATGAACGATGAAGATAAGGCGGTCACTTTATTTTGTTAATTGTCGGAATCTTATGATAACCTTGTTATTACATTGAGTTATAGTAAAGAGGATTATCGACTCAAGCAGTCGACGTGAGCAATATACTGGTCTTAAAAATTGGTTGCAATGCTTCAAAGACAAAGAATGGACATAGCTAAGAGCTTAAGACGAATCTGGTTCTGATACCATGTGAAGAGTCTCAGGTTTCTTATATATGATAATATAATAAAACTATACACAAATTACAGAAAAATTATATATAAAAACTAAATCATAGACATCTAAACTATACCCACACTTACCATCAAATACATGGTATTGAGTTACCATAAAATATAGGACACAATATCCTACTCTTCCTATATTTACTAATTACAATATACAAACATATTTACTAATTACAATATACAAACATATCTTATTAATTACAATATACAAACATATCTTATTAATTACAATATACACCAATCCAGATGACTTAAGTAGAGAAAGATGAAAAAGTGAGAAGCATTGAATTAATAAATAAATCCAGATGACCTAAGTAGAGAGAGATGAAAATGTGAGAAGCATTGAATTAATAAATAAATAGTTTGATTACGAGATACTAGAGACAAAGAAACCATGATATCGAAACTATGGTAGGAAGAGGCTTATGGGAAGAGAGAGAAACACAACAGGGTAGAGAGAGAAACACAACAGTGTAGAGAGAGAAACACAACAGTGTAGAGAGAGAAAGAGAGACACACAACAGAGTAGAGAGAGAAACACAACAGGGTAAAAAGAGACAGCCAACAGGGTAGAGAGAGAAAGAGAAGGCCAACAGGGTAGAGAGAGAAAGAGAAAGCCAACAGGGTAGAGAGAGAAAGAGAAGCCAACATGGTAGAGAGAGAAAGAGAAAGCCAACAGGGTGGAGAGAGAAAGAGAAAGCCAACAGGGTGGAGAGAGAAAGAGAAAGCCAACAGGGTAGAGAGAGAAAGAGAAACACAACAGGGTAGAGAGAGAAAGAGAAACACAACAAGGTTGAGAGAGAAAGAGAAACACAACAGGGTAGAGAGAGAAAGAGAAACAGAACAGGGTAGAGAGAGAAAGATTTGGTGTACACTAGAATTGGAGGGTCGACCTAGCGAGCCAACCCTTTTGGAGTCCAGAAATTGCGTCGGCCATATGTCTTGATAGCCATACAGCACCCACCGACAAAAGGCGAGAGTGGCATATTTAGCCAACCGACCCTTTTAATCCCTTCCCCTTCGTTTTCTCTCTATTTTATGGCACCCCCTCATCCAATACCACACCTTTCTTATCAATGTGGGACTAAACATCCTTTCGGTAGAGAGAAAGGCAACACTCTAAATTGAAATGGAACAAAAGTTATCAGCTTTTGTTTTTTTTTGCTCTTTTTCTTTGACGCGTGCAAGTTCAATTTTGTTAGAGAGACAATAGGTTTTATCGATGTAGGATGATAAAAAGTATGTAATTATTAGAAAGAGAATTCCCAAATTACTTTGAATCCCGGAGCCAGTTGGGAAAACCTGAAAAAACCAAGCAGAGTCTTGGCAAGCCAAAAATTATTAAAAAAATAAAAATAATAAAAATAAATCTAAAAAAATATGGAAATTATGGTTGCAATAAATTTAACACAAAAAAGCATTTAAATAAAGTTAAAAAAGTTGTGGAAAAATGGATTTTGGACCGCACAATTTATAAACAGGGGTAGTTTTGAAATAATCTAGGTGTATTTTAGAAATAATGCAAAAATAAGAGAAAATGTAAAAAATATTTTTTCATGGCCCAAACACTTTTCAATCTTTATTGATGATAGGAAACATTAGAAAAAACAATGCAAATAAATTTTATATTTTTTATATTTTTTTTAATAGCAAGTTACCTACTGATCTTAAAAAATAGGAAAAATACGAAATGCTCCTCTTATAGCCAGAAATTACAAAGAAGGTTGATCAACTCATAATATTATTTTTTTCACTATTGCCCTTTGGTTGGAGGATGTCTCCTCAGTCCAGAGAAGGCATCCTCGCATCGAACTTGATTTTTTTTTTTGTAGGTTAGTGCCCCAAGTTTTAGGAGCAGTGCTCAGGTGGTTCGAGTTTAGAATCCTTAGACCGATCCTTCTCTTTTTTTTTTTTTTAGAAAAAACAACAGTTCGAGGACTCTAGATTGCCCCTGGAACTCAATATTAGGGAAGTTCGAGGTCCCATCTTCATACCGCTTGTTATTTTTGAAAAAGATAGCGATCCGAGAATGTCTACTTCATCATCGAAGCTTTTTCCCAACTAATTGGGGTCGTCTATATGAATCTTAATTCGTCATTCTGCTTTATTAAGGGTCATACATGTGGTGAAGCTATAAGTCCCCATATTTTTTCCCATTACCTCCAATCATATCCTTTTTGGGCTTACCCAAGAACTAAAGCATACTACCTAACAGATGTTATACTAAGTCTGCTTCAGGCCAAACCTTAAGTCTACTCTACATATATTTTCTAAATTTGATTTAAAATCAGGATTTTGACAAATAATATCTCCCAAACATAAGATATACAATTCACTCTCTCCTTCGTCCCAAGTAATTCCCCCATTTTATATATTATAAATCAATGCATGACAGTCCCCCAAACTCATTTCTAATGGATGCCCATTCTGCACTTACAACTCTTATCCTTCAACCAATTCCTGGCTACCAACAAAACATCTCTAATTATGCTCCTTCCAAATTTCCCACACCACTGCCCTTCTATAACTCTCCATAATGTCCTGCCACCAGCTGCAATGTCAGGTACATTCCAATTCATAAATATCTCATATGCTTGAGCTGGAATAATTGAGAACTGGACGGACAACTGATAATCCATCCCCCATGCATATTTTGTGCAGGAGCATTCTAAGAACCCATGTTCTGTAGATTCTTCAGGTTGTTTACACAAAATACATATGATCATAAGGATTTCTCCCCTTTTGGTCAGTTCATCAATAGTCAGCAACTTGCTCCGACAAAACAGCGAAGCATCGAACTTTATATGGAACTAGTACTTTTCATATCCTTGAAAAACTTGGATCACTCCACCACCTTCTATCATTGAACAACAACTTACGCGCTGAGCTAACAGTGAACACACTTCTTGTGCTTGGCTCATATATAACTCTATCTATGTTCAGAAATGCATCTGCAACAGTTGTGGGTAGTGTATGTATTGTTTTGCCACCATCTCAGATTGTCCACTATATCTACAGGGAATTTTCCATACAATTTTGTGCCCTACTCCAAGTACCCTTTGTTGTTTTTTTTCATGGAACTCTTTGATGCCACCTTCTCAAAGAGTGCAACAAATGCTCACTTGTGCAGCCAAATCTGGTTTGCTCTCCGTTACCCACCATCATCCTCATATTTCTTCAGAACACCTCTCTATGATTCATGATACCCTTCCACACGTGAGTCACACCCTTTTTGTTTGACCCGTTTGCCACCATATTATGCTCCTTGTCGATGCTATATTTTTCCTACAAAATTGATCTCCACGGTTGTTCCTATTCATTTACAGATCTCCACCACCACCTGGTTAAAAGAGCGCTATTCATTACCCGTAGATTCTTCACACCCAAAACCTCGATCTTTAATGGGAGCGCAAACCTTACACCATGCCACCAAACTGCATTTCTTACAAGTTTCAGTTTCACACCATAGAAACTTATGAATTAGTCCTTCTAATTGCTTTGGAACTTGGCATTCTAAAAAGTGAAATTCGACAATGTGGATTTTACCAATTTAGTCTATCCCAATTGATAAAAGCTTTGACTTCCAAAAGTCTAGCTTGTATTGCATCCATTGAACCACAGAATCCCAAATTGATGTAGAGGCCCTAATGTCTGTCAAGGGTAATGCTAGGTAGTTCACAATAAACTTTTCAAACCCATACTCCAATATATTAGCATATTTGTTTCACTTCCTAGGGCTAAAATGTGAATTTGGTTTCTTTCAAATTCATATTTAGGCAAGTAATTGTCTAAAAAAAGACAAAAAAGTCTCTTAAGTGCTCCCACTTCATTTTCACTTGCATCACAAAAAAATTAAATTATCATCTGCATATTGCAAATGTGGCACCTAGCTACTGCTTTCATTAAGTTTTAGGATTTATCGGCCCATCCTACTCAACGCTCATTAACATCACACTAAATACATCAACCATCAAGCTGAATAAAAATGAAGATAAGGGGTCCTCCTCCATAATGCCTCTTGCGGCCCTAAAAATTCCTTTAGGCTTTTCCTTTATAAGCATAGAAAAATGAGTAAAAAGATAAATGGCCTTCAATCCCCTTCCTCCATTTCTCACAAAATCCCATCACAGTCATTATCTTGAGAATGCCCCATCCGCCTTACCATAGTCCTTCTCCAAACCAACTTCACATAAAAATCCAGCTTAATTTTCAACTTTCCTCAAGCAGATGCACTCTTGGAGAATAACATCCATTAGTAATTTGTCCACCTTTTATAAATGATTACCAGGGCCCAGCTATCACCATCGGAAGCACCTCTCTTAATCTCCTAGATACATTTAGCAGTTATATATGCTAGTGGGAAGAATCATGTTCACATGGAGAGTATATTATACTCATGGACTACGATCTCTTCATTCCCTTTATATTTGAATTAAGCATTGAGGACCGTTGATGTGAACACTGGCATATAATGGTTAGAAACAAGATGTGGAGAATGTATTGCCCAATTAAGTGTGTGAGCTTAAAATATTTACACTCACACCTGCACACTTAACTGACAGAGGTAGGGATAGAAATATCACTAAAAAAAGTAAATTTGGTGCTATAAAAATTGCAAATCAATCACCTCAACCTTGAAGATCATGGACATGAAAAAATAGAACTCAAATAGCTAAAATAGTCTACCTTGTATCACTTTTTTGGGATTTTTTATTTCATTTATTTATAGATTCGTCTGATTTGCAATATTTTAAGAGCTTCAAATTCCATTGTTAAGGTCAAATATAGATTTTTAGGACATCACAAGGATTTATAGTGCTGAATTGAACTTTTATTTGGGTTTGAGGTGCAGCTTTACAAAATATCATAAATTCATAGCCCTACGACAATCACACCCTTTTCACAATTGACATGAGAATTTATATGAAAAGAACAAGGACTCGTGCGCATGCATGTGCACAATGACCAATTATAAGAAGGGTGTGGTTTGTATAAGGTTGCAACATTAAATAATCAAAGTAAGGTGCTCCTCCAAACTTAGTCATAAGATACAATTTTGGTGTTGAAAATTCTTCGGATGGTACAAAAATCTATTTTCATCTCTAACTATAAAATTTGAACTCCAAATATTGTTCAAGTCAAGCAAATTTATAAATGCACAAAACCTTAAAAAATGGATTGTCCAGATAAGGTGTTCCAAGATTGTACTATTTTTGGGACTTAAAATCTATTTTTTACCTCCATATCTATGCATTTCAATGTTGAGATGATCTTTTAGGTAATTTTCTATCATCAAAACAACCTTTTTCGAAGGATTTAAGAGATGCAACTTAATTATGCATTTTATAGTGTCAACTTGTTCTTATAGGAGTATACCACGACGGTGAACTACAAAGGTTTTGTATCTGCTGGCAGGCTATAAGCAATACTTTTCTTTTCTTTCTCTTTTTCTCTTTTTCTTCTTTTTTTTTTTTTTTTTTTTTTGGGCGAATACCTTCAAGCCATACTAAAGCAGTGGTAACTACAACCAGAAAGGAAATGCAAAAACAATATGTACTTTGTGCCAATAAAGTACTGCATATTCAAATCCAACATCCACCATTGATAACTGGCCAAAAATAGAATAAAATGCATTAATTTTCTGCTGTTTTCAAGGTCAACCTTGTTTTAATTGGGAACAATTACTTGCCTCCCCCATCCATGAATAACGTAGGAGAACCCATTACATTATTCTGTACTTAAACAAGGATTTGGCCCTGTACAGAATAGATATGAAGTTTTTTGTCAATTACAAATTAAAAACTGAAAAGAAAAACATTGTCCAGAATTACAGGACACGAGCTTCATTTTTCAGCTTGTCAATAAGCTCATCTACAGATGACACCTTAACACCCGATTTCCTTTTCGGGGGCTCGTTAACTTCAACAATCTCTATATCAGGCTTGATTTCCACATTTAATTCTTCAGGAGTAACCTTCTTTATAACCTTTGACTTTGCTTTCATTATGTTAGGAAGCGTTGCATATCGAGGCTGATTAAGTCGTAGATCCGACCTGCAAAGAAATAACATGTCCTTTAAACATGTTCATTTCATACAGGCTTATGCATCTATGAACATAGAAGAGTTTTTCTTTCACTAAAAAGGAATATAAGGAAGCTCTTGTTTTTTCTCTCTCTCTAGAGAGAGAGAGGTGCATACAATCAATGGGTGACACAATTAATCTCAGAAAATGAAAGGCAGACAGAATTTGATTCGACAATGCTTACGTTATTAGGCTATAAAGTAACAAAACCAAATGCTTATATGATCAATATAGATATAGTCCACAATCTGAAGGAATATGGTATATGGTACTCCAAAGAGGCATGCACTGTTCATTCCCAATGACAAATGGCAGATATTACAACAGCAGTAGGTCAGGATATCTGCCATGGTTAATCTCCACTACGCTTCATCAGGAATGGATGGTGAAGTCCCTTTGGATTACAATGGTGTTTTAAAACATGGATCGTGCAGGTGGGTAGGCCCTTCACTGTACCAATCCGAATCGGCTCAATTGAAGATCCAGCAAAATTTAACAAATAAAAAAAAGGAACAGCGCGAAAAAGTTGCATAAAGTCATATGTTTGATGATGTTTTTGAGTTTAAATCATTTTAAAAAAGATTATTAAACACGGGGCATTAGGTAAATGGGGAGATTAATTCCGATTCTTGATTCCCGGAGGGAATCAGCCCCGTGACACTGTGAATCCAATCCAAATCAGTGATTTTAAACCTTGGACTACAGTATGCAAAACTCCAATGGGTTATGTATAATTTCTTGAGTGCTAATCCAATAATTTCGAGAAATGCAATCACTTCTGAAAACATACAAAATGATCAAGATGAATGTTTCAAAGTTCAGTGTCTATCTGCAAGTCAACTACAAACTGTGTTGATCATGTTGATTAATGATTCAAGAGTCCATTTAACATACTTACCGTGGCTAAAATCTGAATACAAAATGATTATAAACAAACAAAAGAGTTACTTGAATATCATAAGAATATCACACTTAAAAAGAAACTCCAGAGGTCCAAATTAGAGAGGGCAGAGCAAGGTATACTGTCTTAAAAGTCATACTAGAAAAGAGTGCAGAGCTTTGTCCATATTTCCTGGAGCTTCTCTTTGGAAGACAGCTAACAAAACCAAATTGTCAACTTATTCAGAGTTGATTAAGTCTTAATACAATTGGAAGAATTGCAGAGCATGGATACATTAGAATTCTGTTACATAATGGTAAGTCAACATAGATTACAAGGGACTGTTAGAGAAAAAAAAAAAACAACAGACACGGACAATAGATAACACCCATGACTGTTTATGAATGTTGCACGTGCAAGGAAATACAAGGGAATGAGAGAGGTCTCTCTCTCTCTCTCTCTCTCTCTCTCTCTGAGATAAAAAAAGAGATCTTATCATCTTTTACATATCTTAGGGCCAGTTTGGATGGACCAATAAACAGAAACTGTACTATTATCTTCCTCCGCTGGTGCTGGATTACCACCACAACATGTTTGTGCCTGTGGTTTATGGAACCCTGCTTGCGTGGAAAATTCTGCCAAATAGCGGTAATTTAATAATAGCCGGAGGAAACAAAAATCATGTATCTCCCCTATTCTATAATAGTAGGAGACAAATATCCAGAGAGGTGTGGTCCACACTCTCCCTTAAGAAACAAAATATGATGCCCATATGGTGCTAAACCGATTAAGACATATGAAAAATTAGATTAATCACAAAAGTATCAATACCTTTATAACGACATAGGATCAGATCTTTGTTGAATAAATGGACCAAGACAGTTGTTCCTAGAAGTCACAGCACTTAGAACAAGAGGAATGGTAAAGAGAAGTATTGATACTTACGTGATTACTGCTGGAAGATCCAAGCATAATGTCTCAAGACCCCCATCAACCTCTCTTTCTACTGTTGCCGTGCTTTTCGCCTTATCCAAAACCACCTGGCACAAAGCAAGTACGCACCCTACTTGGAATGACTACATAATAAATATGTAGTTACATACAGATACACACAAAAAGAGAGATAATAGGGAGGGAGGGAGGAGGGATCCAATTCACACAATTCATTAGACAAAAAAACAATCTTGTTTGAGTGGAGTGAATAAGAATGTCAATGCATCGACTGATGCATGAAGTAGCCGCATTCCATAAATGTTTATGTCTTAATGCATGATGCCAAGGAAGACACATCTGATGAAGTCAGAGTTCATAACAAAACAGTGAAGGCTGATAATTCCAAAATCTGCACTGTAAGTAACAGCAAATTGAAAGAACTTATCACGCATTAGGAGAAAACAAACCTAATAATGGAATTTAATGTGGAAACTCCTCACTCCTTGAAGCAAGTATTCTTTACAAGAAGATTAATAACATAAAAATTGATGGCAAATGCAGGAATCTGGCTCATTCAGGCCTAGGTAGGGTACTGGATTCAAGGCTAGCAGTTACCTGAAACACAGAAAAGATAGAAGCTAGGGCTCTTCTAACAGGCCTTAATGTCTTCTCCCAATGTTTCTTATGTCCCCACAGGCTGAAGGAGACTTCTTGAATGCCATTAAATTGGCTCATCAAGAAGTGGCTCCACTATGGACCAGTGTTGAAATCATAGATGAGGTTTTTGATATTTTTGAGTCCTATATGATCTCCCATAATGACCAAGAGGCCTACCCCCTTGCCAAGGAGGAAATGGGCAGTGAGGCTTATTGTTGAAGAAAACTATCCATAAGAGTTCCTAATTTTATATGTCTCTTATACCGATCTTTTATTGCCTCTATATGCAACTTGATGTAAAACCTTGATGAATGTTCATAATAAAAAGAAAAACACATTTATCAGGAGTAATAAAATTTACAAAACTAGTTTCTAAAAGAAAAAGAAAGCTTATGAAAATTACACAGAGGTGGAAACAGTGAATGCAATATACTGATGTTTGCTGTAAATTTATCACCCAATATACCCATGTCCAAGACTAGACATGAAAATCAACAAAGCTTTAAAAATGGAAATTGTTCACAATATTGGAATTTGGAAGTTTCCTTGGCAGGACATAAGCTCATCTATATCCATCCTCCTTGGTGTGAGAGCCCATCTCATCATGAGATTCTTCCCTCCTGATCATTATCTCTTTCTAACATGTGTAGCAAGTCCTCTGTCTTGGATAAAATCCATATTTGAAATGAATCTAGGATTTTAATCCCAGACTTCAGTCATTTGGATAGTCCAGATTCCATGGGAAACTTTCAAGTATTGTGCAGATACCCTAAGTAGTTTTATCAATGCCTGTAAAAACATTATTGTGTGGTATTAGTATCTAAAACCTCAAGTGCACTGAGAACAGTCGCTTTCATTTGATGTAAGAATCAAACACAAGTCATGAGAAGGCACATGCTTCTCCTGTTCTTGGGTCCCAGATTCAACTCATGTTTGCTGGCTTTGAAAGTTGTTGCTTGGACTCAATAAGCACCTCAGGCTCGGCGAATTATTAGTAAGCTAGTGCTCACTTTTAGAAACCAACTATTTATTAGTCAGATAATTGGTATCCAGCATTATTATCCTATTAGCATACAATAATAACATTTCAATCACAATTAATGATAGGGAAGTACTGAAGATCACAACAACAATCAAAAGTATAGAAGAAATATTCTGGGCATATGGGATCTATCCTTGAAATAGAGATTGCCTAATCTTCAAGGGAAGAATTACTATTGTTATGCCTACAAGTTTGCCACTAGAGAAAGACTACCCAAATAGTACAAATTAAAGGGAGAACTTCCATATAAATGTGAAATCTTTTGATTACTGAGATGGTCTTCTTGAAGAATTGATGGAATAGAACAGATTGATGATCATGTCCACTTACACTTGCACGACCTTACTCCCACAATACGCACAAATCACTCCATGGCTTCAGCACGTTACCACATACAACATTTTCTTGCAATATTTATTGATATACAAGAAATACTCAGCGGATGATTCTTTTTCTTTTACCCCCTTTATAAGTCAAAGCTAACTCCCCATAATTTGGAAGTTATCTTAACACTTTTTAATCCATAACAATACGCAGTGTGTTTCATGGATCTTAATATCTTCCACAACAGTAATATACAACAAATAATGTTGCTTCAGATATTTTGGAGAAACTTGATGTTTCCTTGATGCCTACATAAGAAATCTGCAATAACACCATAACACATGGATTGTGTCTATTAACAAATTTCAGGAACACACAGAAAGGACGAACACTGTTGTGTTGAAGGCTGATTAACCTAAGGACTTCGCTTATGTTTCACATAGTATCCATTGGGCTTGAAGAATGAACTTCCATCCTAGAAAAGCTACTGAAGGTAGGCATCGATTTCTGATAGTCAAATTTCAGTGATTGAAGTTATTAAACGCATAGCACAAGTTTGGAAGAAGTTTATGTAAGCATAACTGCAGAGCCAGTGTAGTCATTTGATTTTAACAACAGATAACAGATGAAACTTACACAAGTAGAATCTAGACATAATAACTATTGCTTAATACAAAGAGCTAAATATTTCTGCCTTGACTAGCATAGAATGGCTTACCTTGGAAGCAAAGGTCCCTTGTGGCCATTTGAGCAGCCCAGCAACCATTTGCCCAGTCTGATTGCAATCATCATCAATTGCCTAAGTGTTGAAATGTCTTAAAAGTTATTAACAGAATGGTAACCCCAAAGAGCACGGAGATCTTAGAAGTGCTAGAAAATGATAGTAGAGAAATGTAGATATGAATAAAAATTTGACAAATTGAATAACTGGTGACAGACACATGATCATTATCATTTTGGAAATACATAATAACACTAAGTAAGTTCTATTGTTGGTAGTTTGTACAAAGTGGATTCATGCCAAACGGAATGAAGGCCACATAATGAAATTAAAATAAAGGAAAGTATACAATGAGCAGGCTACTTAGGTGGGCACGGCATGTGCGGCATAGACCTAATACAATACCGGTTAGGAGGGGCGATTTGTTTCAAGTGGAAAGCTCTAAAAGGGCAAGGGAAAGGCCCAAAAGGACATGGATAGAAGTTGGAAGAGATATAGAGATTTATGGCCTAACTGAGAATATGGCGTTTGATAGAGTGGAATGGTGGAATACAATTCATGACGGTGAACCCAAAGAGTTGGGATAAGGCTCGGATGATGATGATACAATGAGCAGGCTACATTTTTAAAACAGTCTTTCACACCCTTCTTGATGGACTTTGGAAGGAGGATAACACACAACAGTCATCACATTTCACGTCTGATTGCCTAGGAGGGTGTGAATCTGTGTAGGAAAAATGTAGCGAACTCATTGTATGTGATTCCTAAAAACAATAAAAATAATGGCATGATAATGATAGGCATGTTAACAATCATTATAATCATCAATATTTTTTTTTTCCAATATTTATACCGAACTGTTATGACCCAACTTGGTTCAGATAAATAGCCTTCCCTTGCATAGAATCACCATCATAATCTATTGCTATTTCTGGGAAGCAACAAAGAAGCAAAACAGCAATCCTAAAAGATCATATCAACGAAATGGAATAACCATGCATGTCAAGTAAAATTACTCTCAAGTCAATAAACAACAAGCTAATTGAAAACTAAAAATAAAACGATTCCACCAATGATCATGTCATCAGCTTCAATCCTAAATTAAGAAGTATTTCATAACACAGTCTCTACACAATCAATGGCACAAAATGCATTACACAATGAAACATATCTTAAGTTCTTAAGCAAATTTGCATTAAATGTTAGAATTGTGCCAAATTCGATCAATAACATTTTTCTCAATATGCCATCAAGTTATCTAATGGGAAAAAAACGCTTCATAAGAAATTCAATAAAATGTAAAAAAATAAATAAATACAACTGATACCTGTTTTCCAAGCAGTAAAAGCCCTGGATTCTCAATGGCTACAAGTGATTTGAGGAGCTTGGAAACTGATAGCGGGTGAAGATATTGATCAGTGGAGACATGAATTGCCCTATCTGCACCCATGGCCAACCCAGTTCTGAGGGCGTCAGTGCACTGGGCTCCACCCATGCTCACAATTACAACCTCTGATGCATTTCCTGATTCTCGGATGCGCAGAGCTTCTTCGAGCGCAATTTCGCAAAATGGGTTCATGGACATCTTCACATTGTTTGTCTCCACACCACTCTAAAGAGAGAAAATGAAATAAATAAAGAGATGTGGGTCAATTTGCAGAGTCGAGGAGAGGGAGACTAAATAAAAAGAGAAATGTCGATCAATTGGCATGGAGAGAGAGAGAGTTGTATCTAGATAGAGGGAGTAAGGAAGAACATAAGGGTGAGTTGCAAGTACAAAGACGGATAGATAGAGATAGAAAGACAGAGAGGATAGACAGAAATTAAACATGGAAAAACTTTAAAAATTAAATTTAGTTGAGTCACAAATAAGGTGACGATGTGAGAAGAAGACCGAATCATAGAGGAAGAGGATCAAGGAAAATCCCCTCAATATATTAGCTAGAAAGAAAGAAAAAGGTGGTGTAAAATAAATGGCAAACCACAATTGTGAAGCAAATAAGAGAGAGAGAAGAAGACGATGGAGGGGGCAGGATATACCTTGTCTGGTTTGACCCTAATCTTCACTGCGTAGTCTATTACTCTTTTTACTGCCACCAATATCTTCATCTCTCTCTCAACACACTGTACCTCAAAGGATCAAATGAGTGTCTCTCTCTCAACACTGTACCTCAAAGAATCAAATGAGTCTCTCTCTGCACACTGTCCCTCAAAGATTGAAATGATTTTCTCTCTACAGAATATACAAATACACCCTTCTCTGCTTTAGTTGGAAGTTCATTGAAATGGCGTCTCTTTAGGTCAGATTTATAGAGATGATCTTATCTTACGCTTCTCTCTGTGCAGCAAAAGCCCATTCCCCGATGCTCTCTGCTCTCAAGCTTCCGTCTGCTGATTTCTTTCCTCCCCGCTGCGGTTAAGTGCTTGACTACTCGGGCGAGTCCTATCGGACTCGATCATATAACTCGGACTTGTGGGGCGAGCCGCGAAATCCCGAGTTAGGGTGTTGAATTAGATCCTAGAGAAAAAGGGCAAAAGTCTATACAAGGATGACGTATGCATCTAAAAACTTTATCGGAACATTTTATTTTAATATTAAAAAATCCTCTAATAGATTATCTCAACATCGTAATTGATCATCTCAACATCGTAATTGATCATCTCAACAACGAGACATATGAATATGAAAAAAAGAAAAGATTTTAAATCTAGAAAATAGTACATTTTGTAACACATTACCTAACAAATACACAGTTTTAATAGTGGAGATTTTGTGAGATACAAATTTGACTTATAGGTATTTGAATAGTCATGCATAATAGAAAAGGCATTTTATCTCTCTAGATACGATATCTTGTTTCCTCCAATTTACACATTGAATTACAAAAACTTATTTTTTAATAAAATATTTTTTTCTCTCTAAAAAGAGACAAAACTGAATATTTGTGCATTTATATTAGCAAGATAACTTCCTCAATCCTGAACCCCCATGTATCTTGATGAGAAATGCTTGGTAGAAACTTCAACACACATTGATATTCATCAATAATGAGCAAATTTTGCCATGACAAAGCAATTTACAGCGTCTCGGATTAGACAAATTGGAACTCCCTAGTTTCATTTAGCTCTTATTTTGCATTGTCTCATCAATCACTTCCAACCATATGTGTGTTTTTACAGCCCATTTTTCACTTGAACAAACTCGACTTTTTTTATCATTCAGGTTTTAAAATATTGGTGGGGAGGATAGCTTTTCTTGTAAGGTTTGACCATGAACATCCATTGCTAAAATCATCTCAAATGCCTTTTCTCTTAAAAAAACCCTTTTATTTTTTGTTGGCTACAATAGATCATCCTCTATATATAGAGGTAACAAATGCTAGAGATCCCATTTTCAAAGAAATGCTACTCACCTTATATTTTATTATATTCTTCCAATCTCTAACGTTGAAGATCACTTCTTACAAGAAGTCATCATAATCATCGTCAAAGTCTTTTTCCAACTAATTCGGAATCGGCTACACAAATCCTAATCCGTCATTCTGCTTTATTAAGGGCCTCCTTCCAACCATGTCTTTCCTTACTTGCATGTAATATAAATTGTAACCAATCTAATAAATTCAAGACATCCTAATCTAAGGGCATGACGGATAATGGAGATTTTTCAATGTGAATTATAATCCCCAAAATCTTAGATAATTCAAATTTTTATGGAATGTTAATTAAAACTTCATTAAGTATCGAAATTGATTTACAATGAATGAGATTATCAAAAAATCCAAAAAAAGAAACATGGACTGGAAACCCAAAATTGAATGTAAGTTGAATTTGATAACTAGATTTTCAATAGTAAAACGTGGATTAAAATATTATGGAGCAGTGTCGACCTAAAAGAACATCGATTAGGACGGGGGTGATTTAGTTCAAGTGGAAGACTATAAAAGGACAAGGGAAAAACCTCAAAGGACTTGGATGAAAGTAGCGATAAAAGATATATTGACTTATGATCTAACTAAAGGTATGACCCTTGATAGAAAATAATGGTAGAGCAAGATTCATCTAACTGACCTAAAATAGTTAGAATAAGGCTTAGATGACGACTGCATGGTAAAGAACTGAGATTAAAAATTGTCCCCATTTTTCAAGTTACTCTCAATAGCCGTAGTGCTATATATTGGGTACACAGATTGAACATCTATTGCCATGGAGGGACACTCACTATTGGTTACAAGGGATTAGCCTGTCCATATACTTCACATTAATACACATCGAGTGTGTAGTGTAGTCTTTGAGATCTCAAAATTACTATTTTCCAATCTTTGGCCCACATGGATACATGATTATGAACCATCAAAACATCTGAAAGTCATTACAGGTAAAAATGTGATTCAATTTCTAGTCGGTCACCCGAACTAAGTCCAGGTTCGGGTCTATGTTTTGGACCCTCTGGGTCGGCTCTGCATCAGCTTCGGATCCAGATCCTACTGGGAACCTATCAGGTTGTGCTGGGTGACTCAACTTGACACGACCTGGTATAAAATATACAAATATATTATATTAATTTTCCTCTCTTTTTTTTTTTTGAGAAAATTACATATATATTCGTTATACTTTACGTTATTATGGTTACACCTAATAGTTTCCGTTATTATTCATCTGTCCGTTTTTTATCTTTCATAATGCCTTTTTTAAAAAAAATATTTTTGCCCTTTTTCGGATGTTCAACATCCGAAAACAGGATTTAAAAAAAACGTTTACTTTTCAATTTTCAGATGTTGAACATCCGAAAAGTGCAGCATAGTGAGTAAACTTCGTCCACCCTATTTTCTGCGTTTTTTTCATTCTTTCACAATGCATCTGCGTTTTTCTCATTCTTTGAGAGTGTGATTGATATTGTGTGCTTTATTGGTAAAGAATAGCAGTTAGTTTTTTTTTTTTTTTTCAACAGTGTTCGTCTTTGGCAAACAACATTTTTTGGATTTTGAAGCAATTCACATTGTGAAGGTATGTGGGTCGATTTTTTATTTAGATTGCCACCTGAATTTTGGTTAGGGTTTATATTCAAGCATACTAATTATTTGTTGTGATTTTGGTATAGATTGAATTAATTTGTGGCTCCATTGTGATTGAATTAGATATTTATAATTTGGGGGTTTTGAGAACTTGGAATTTTGTGGTCTCTATATAACTATAAATTATTTAAATATGGGGGTTTATACTCTCAGATAGTCTTAAGCATAGATTTGTGTTAGATTTATTGATGTTTTAGTAAATTGTTGATTTTTGTAGATGATAGATTGATTAGCTTAAAAAATAAAATTTGTTTGTGATTTATGATTCAAGTACATATTTACTTTGAATATTTTGCAAAGTATTTAATGAGTGAGTTTATTTGAATTATGATTTATGATTCAAGTAACAATGACTACATTAATTTGAATATTTTGGATTTAATCTGTTGCTTGTATTATAAGTAGCATTATTCTCCGTTATTGTTTGAAATTGTTGCTTGACATAAAATTAAATTTTTTATTTTTTGTTGGAGCCGTTCGTCTATCTATAAATCGATTTCTTCAGTTTTTGATTGAACTGCGTGGTTTTTTAATGAATTGGTTATCGAGCTAACATGAATTCTTTGTTTTTGATGGGATGATTTAGTTGCTTATGAAAGTTGGATTTTGGTCTTTACAATGAAATGATTTGTTGCTTATCAATGTCGAATTTCGTTGAAATAATTTTGTTACTCATTAACGATGAATTCTTTAGTTTTTTGTCGATGATGGTTACTTGGAAGGGGATTATGTATTTTTTTTTGTTTATCCATCTAGGGTTTGGTTATTGTTTAGCTGAGGTCCATTGAATTTGACTTAGTGTAGTATTTCATGTGGTTTTAAATTTGTTACTGATAAAAGAAGTGGATGAGGATTGTGCATGTCTGCTTAATTAAGAGGTCTGTATTGTAGTTCTTCAAGTAGAGATATTAAATTGGATTTAAGAGATGGATAGGGGATTGTTTTTTGTTGTAGCTAATTATGGAAGTTGTTTAGTGGTTTTTGAATAACTCTTTGAATTCTTTTTAGTTGTTTGTTTGACTTAAAGAATCAATTCTTTATTTGGCCACCATATTCACTGATTGATTTCGATTTTCAAGTATACGATCCTTAGTTGGACTAGCATGACAATTTCAGTTAGCATTGTTCATCTTTCATCAATGGATTGTAGCAATGTTCTTCTTCATCAATAGTATGTCATTATTGTTTTTTTGTTATCCAGTTAATTTCTGCATGTGTAGCCTTATGGTTAACATGATGACCATAGGGGATTTCAGTGAATATAGATCGTTTACATCCCGATGGAGGATATCCAGGAGGTCCTCAGGACCCTAGTTTGTTGCAACGTCATCCAGAACATTGCTCATATTTCATATGGAAAGGACAAGTATATGCATATATTCATTTGCCCATTCTATTTATTTGTTAGTTTTCAATAAATGGTAGTCTGGTTCAAACATCCTATGGAAAGTACATGTATATATATTGATTATAATATGATGTCTATTTGTTGTATTTCAGGAGAAAGAATAAATTAGAATTGATGAGAAGAATTATCAATTAAATGAATGGAAGAACAAGTTAAGTTATTTCATGCTTTTGGGTTAGGCCCGTTGGCTATCATTCAGCCTGGGCGAATTGATTATCTTTTGGTCGCAGCTAATATAGAGAGGTGGCGTTTTGAGACCAACACCTTTCATTTCAACATTCATATTGGTGAGATGACACCAACACTTTTTGATGTATATGAGATATTAGGAGCGGTTATGGATGGCGACCCAGTTACATGTCGTCCTATCAAAGACCTGCGAAAGTTTACAAAAGATAATTTGGGTATAGTCCCCGATGGCAACTTGGTAAGCCTGAGGCATATATGGCTGAAGGCGAATTTTAGGGAATTGTCACATGATGCAACCACAGTTCAAGTTTATAGATATACTTGAGCATATATGCTCTTCCTCATCAGTGTAACCATATTCGCTGATGCATCAATTTCAACAGTGCCAACAAGGTACCTACAGTTTTTTGAAGCAATTGAGGGTGCCAACACATATGCTTGGGGTGCTGCAGCCCTTGCATTACTCTATCGCTCACTTGAAAAAACTTGCATTTTCAAGCGAAGACATTTTAGTGGTTCAGCCACTCTCATACAGGTAACCATTTGTTTTGGTATATGACATAAGTCTAATAGTTTCGATTGCTTTCTTAATATATTTAATATTTGTCTTACTCAATTTATTGCAGTGTTGGTCATATGAGCATATTATGCATATGAGACCCATACTGCATAGTATCCCTCCAAATATGCTTAAGGCCAAAAGATGGGAGCCATTGAAGAAATATCATGGCAATCCACATAACTTAATGCCTCCCATCAGACAAGAAATTGATAGCCTCCAACCTAATGAAGTTAATGTATAATTTGATATAGATTTCTTTTAATAGTATTTAAGTATTTATAAGTATTTTTATTGACTGATTGCATATCATATAACAGATAATTTGGAATCCCTATTTCAACCCTGATGAGGTCATTTCAAATGATAGGCAGCAGGTATTTCAAACTACAATGTGCCCTACAATTTTGATATTTGACAATATTGTTGAGCCGTACATGCCAGACCGAGTATGCCAGCAATTTGGAGCAAAACATGACATTCCTAAGAATCCCTTGCTTGTTAGTAAGAGGGCAAACAGACAAGTTGGACAGCGAGATTAGCGAAAATGTCAATGCAGATAAAATCACTAACTGGTTATCTCGCCATGATCGCATCATGCTTGATATTCAACAATATACTGACAATGGTTTGCCCTTAGAGGAGTACAAGGCCTGATACAACTTGGTGTCCCATTATTTGATACATAATGTCGATAACCCATCCAAAGACATATTGCAACCTCATATCCATGAAGAAGAAGAAGTGATTCATGTTCATGAACCACAATATATAATGAGACCTCGAGGTTATGAGGATCAGTTGGTACGTTTATATTGACCTATAAATTATTATAGTATTTTATTTACCTATTAGTTCTATTCAATTGTTTAAATATGTTAATTATGTAATCTTGTTGTGCAAATTAGTGCAGTTAAGACATCTACAGTCATGTTAGCAACGACACTTACACTTAGATAGAAACCCTGAAGTTCTTAATTGCGTTTGAAATATTGTCTAAGTTTGTACCTGTGGATATGGGTGATGTAGAAGCCAGGATAGAGCATTTACAACATCAATATAATGACGAAGTTGTACCTGACGACGCTGGAGATGATGGAGTGGGTCAAAGTAGTCGGGCTGTAGAAGACCTAGCTCCCTCCACACAACCTGTTGAGGAACTTAGAAGATCTAACACACGAAATAAACAATATCAGCCTAAGAGAAGGCGAGGCGTGTAATGGGTCATTTTGAGAATCCCAATTTGTATTGGTCATTTTATAATGTTTTTAGATGGTTGTATTTGACATGAGTCTCGAATTGATCTACCTTAACTATATAGAGCTAGCATATTTTTTATGAAAAGTTATAATATTTGTCTTATTACTACTAACTAAATATATTGCAGAATCTTCAATATCACTCTTGATATCAATGTGTGATGTTGTGCTTATGTGTCAATATCAATCATCCTTTCTTTCTCTTCATTTTTTGTTGCTACATGAGTCATCTTGAGAAGACTTGGAGTCTTGGTGAAATTTGATTGTTAGTGGTTGCATATGTGTATTGGGTTTAGCATCATATCACTGCCTAGAGCTATCCAGAATACATTCGATATAAGATTAATGAGATTTATTAATTTAACATTATTTACATTACTTATTGTGATTGATGGTGGTGAAAATAACAGCTACTGTGCATCCAAAATCATATAATCAGCAATGGAAATAATTGTGATAGCTTTAAAATAAGAAAATGAAATTCATATCCATACATCCATAAATGAGTTATTCTCATGTCCATGCATCCGGAAATGATGTCCATTTTTTTTATCATGTCAATGCATCTTGATGTCCATGATCAATGTGATGTCTAAACAATTTTGGATGTTCAACATCCGAAAGTGACATATTTTTGAATGTTCAACATCCGAAAAGGGTACTGTCAAAATCCAGGAAGCTACTGGATTTTCACTATGAGTGAACATTCGAAAAAGCAATATTTTCGAATGTTCAATATCCGAAAACTCACTGTGAAAATCTTGGATATTCATAGTGAGTTTTCGGATGTTGAACATCCAAAACTATTACTTTTTCGGATGTTGAACATCTGAAAACTCATTGTAAAAATCCAAGAGCTTCCTGGATTTTGACAATATCATTTTCGAATGTTGAACATCCGAAATTGTTTAGACATCACATTGATCATGGACATCAAGATGCATTGACATGATAAAAAAATGGACATCATTTCTGGATGTATGGACATGAGAATAACTCATTTATGGATGTATGGATATGAATTTCATTTTCTTATTTTAAGGCTATCACAAAGATTTCCAATATTGAAATCATCTATTTCGACACAAAGATTGACAAACTCATCCATTAGAAGATTTATGACAACAAAGAATTCTGATTGCACTAACACAATTTTGACAACAAAAACACAATATTCACTCAATTCATTAATTCATGAAAGTCATAGTTCCATACAAGAATACAATATTAACATCAAGTTCACTCTATCGGTTCTCTGCATGTCCTTCTATTATGACCCTCTGCGTCGCATCGTTTGCACTTCAAAAACCTGGTGATTGGATGTTTTGTCTCGGATATTCTTCATTGTTTTTTTTGGCCTACCGAAAAGACGTGTAGTCCTTGGTGGCGACACTGTCCTGTTGTAAATACATGTCAATTCAATATCATCCGAGACAGGTGCAAAGGGAGTTTCAAATGCCCTTTTAAAGTATTCCACTGTAAAATACTTAAGGCAGTACACAATGGGATCCATATGCATATAATTAATGGCCGCAATAGTATAGGCACACGGAATGCTACTGAGTTGCCATTTTCCACAACTGCATGTCCACTGCATTAAATCGATAACGTTCTTCTTTCCAAGATAGTGGATCTCAAAAAACGTGTCCATGAAGGATATAACTTTGTGCAAAAATCGAGCCTTCATCTTTCGCGGGTCAAGTAATTCTTGGGCCTTCGGTACTAACATGCCGCTCAAAGTATTACCTAATTCATTCTTCTCTTTAAACCTGGTCAACTATATCCTTATTTCTTCACACATTGTAATGATCGGCCGATAAAATCCAAGCATTGAAAGACTCGGCTATGTTTAAGGTATGATGATTATATCTGGACCCTGAAAAATAGACATATGCCCAAAATTTGGGTGGAATATTCTTAATCCAATCATATGCTTCTGGGTCGACGCACTGTATATCAAACGTTATTTTTTTCAAACCGGCCGCTTTACAAGCAGCCTTCCAAAACAGCATCAGCAATACTTCAGTAATTGCTGACCTCTTCATAAAGCCCTTGAAGTTCTCTCCCATATGTCACATGCAAAATAATGGAAAACATTTTTCTATTGTTTATGGCAGGCTTTTCTATCGATATGATATGATGGTTAAGACAGGTTGATTTAGGGTACCTATTTAAGAGCTCACTCAATATACTTAAGAACCAATACCACATTTGGTAATTCTCCTTCTCAAGCATTGCGAATGCCAATGGGAAGAGCCCATTATTTACATCTAGTGTGATGACGCGCAATAAAATGCCTTGATACTTTCTTTTTAAGAATGTTTCATCAATACCAATTAGTGGCCTGCATCCATTGACAAACCCCATAATGCATGGACGATAGGTAATAAATAGTCGTTGAACCTGCCTTCATCTCTGTGGATGCGAACTTCAATTCCCGGGTTGGTTCTTCTGATCTTCTCAATATACAGCGGGAGGTCATGGTATTGTTGTTCATGTGATCCATCTACTATCTCCCTAGCAACATCTTTTCCCTGCCAAGCTTGTATGTAGGAAAGTCTGACTCTGTGATCACGTTGAACATCCTTTACAATATATTTTGCTTTAATTTTTGGTTGGTCAAGAAGGCAACCTTTAATATCTGTGGTCACTTAATCACTAGGAGCTAGTGGCTGATGGACCCTCCCCATGGGACCACTACATGTGTGCTCCTTAACTATAGACTTAACTTTAAAGTATGCGATGCTGCTAACTCGTAAGCACCGCACTTGCTATGTGCATCCATATGTCTTGCAACTTGCCCACATCTGTTCTAATTCACTTTTGTTAAACTTCAAAACAAAATTGTTGTGGATTACAAAATCAACTAGATGATGCCGATATTCATTAACATTTTCAAACAATTGCCCAACATTCAATTGAACCTCGTTACCAACTCCTCTACATGGACTCTCTAGTGGTTCAATGTCCTCTATATCACGCTCTGGTACGAGCTCAGGGTTGGGCACTACTCCAGTGTTTTGATCTTGCTTAGATAAAGTGTTACACCGACTATTGACAAAAGATAAAGTGTAAGATAAAGCAACAATTTCTGCACATATAATATTAAAATGAAGCAATTTATAGATGAAAAAATGAATTGTAGATATACCTATTCCTTGAAGATGGACCCTCAACAACAAATTCTTGTTGTGCCTCGACAATATATATTACAATTATCGAAGATTCCCCTCCCAACATAAAATATACATCTATATCATCACTAACATCAATCAAATCAAGCCCACTAGATAGTCTTGTGTTGTGCTACATAATGTCTAATTTGTTTGGATCACACTTGATTAAATTTGCAAAATGACTTTTTAGTTCATTCAAGGAACTATTCCCATTGTACTTGGTGACCTTCAATTTTCCTCTTTTATGAATAACACACCTGTCATTTGCATTCGTCTCAAATGACCTCCCATATCGGAATACTAGTTGCACTCCCTCAGTAGCCATCGTCAATACTACTGTATTAAATGAATAACAAAGTTACTGTTATAAAAAATCATTACAAAAAACTGCTATATTTCTAACTACTTTAGGGTGAGTATTGCATAATTGATTAAAATAGTGTACTGCTAAAATTGTCAGTAGCGATCGTCAATACTCATGTATTGAATGAATAGCAAAATTAGTGTTACAAAAAAATTACCAAAAATTGGGATATTATTAACTACTTTAGGGTTCATAGTATTACATAATAGATTGAAACAGTGTACTATTAAAATTGTGAGTAATACTCACATAAACACAAAATAAACAACAAATTTTATTACAAACAAATAAGTTTAACAATTATTTCTCCAAAACAAAGAATACAATGTATCAACATGATATAAACAACAAATAAGTATATAAAAAAACAACTTCATCAATATTAAACAAATTCCATTTATTAATCTCAAATACACAACAAATGCTATTAACAAAATTAAATATTCTAAATAATAACAGATAAATAAACTTTAATTAATCAACCGTATAAAAAAAGAGTAAGAACGGTACCAATCACGTCAAAATATGAATCAATCTCTTCAACTTTGTGGGTTACTGTATTAAGGGACAGTAACGGGGGTACGTTCCTTCAATGATCGATTTTTCCAAACTTTATAAAAATAAAAATATATAAGTTTCTGCTCGTGTGCTGGAAGTCGTGGCGTGCAAAATTTCGGATGTTCAACATCCAAAATTATCAAAATTTCGGATATTCTCTGAAATATGATAAGTGATTGTTCTAACTGCGGTCGTTTTCGGATGTTGAACATCCGAAATTTTCATAAATTCGGATGTTGAACATCCGAAAAAGGACAAAAGTGTCTTTTTTTAAAAAGGATGTTATGAAAGATAAAAAATGGAAAGATGAATAATAATGGAAATTATTAGGTGTAACCGTAATAACGTAAAGTATAAGGTATATATATATATATATATATATATATATATATATGTGAGTGTTGTTTAATTTTTTTTTTTTTTTTTAATTTCCAGACCTATGGGATCTAAGTTATTTAGGTCCGACCTGGGTCTGGTCAGGGTCAAGTTCAAGTCCTTGTAGAACCAAGGTCCAGGTCCGGGTCCGAGTCCGGGTCGCCTGTTGCTACCCCTAGTTCTTCCCCTCTTCAGGATTCAGGCGTGTATTGGCGCCTTAGCTCTCTCTCAGTCTCAATAGAGAAATCCAGGCCTTTTTCTTTTCCCATATATTTAAGCGCTCTCTCTCTTTTTCTCTCCTTTCCCTTTCAAATTCCAAGCGTCTCTCTTAAGCGCCCCTCTTTTTCCCGCGTTACAAGCTCTACACAATCCCCGCCATGGTGACCTAGCATTCTTTCGCCTAACCTATTATTTTGTCTTTCAAAGTATCTGGAATTCAAGCTTCTTGTTCTGTAATTTATCATCTTCTTTACGATGCTTGGTTCAAATTTATTTGGTCGATTTCCTTTTAATGATACACCATGGCTGTTGCAGGATTATCTTAAATCCGTGGTTCCTTCACAGCTCATAGCTGAAAGGGGGTCTAATTTAGTTGTTATTAATCCAGGTACCAGCGTTCTCTCCCGCGTTTCAATATCACCTTTTCTCTCCTCTCATGTTCCATTGCTTGTTTGTTTAATTCATTTGAAAATTTAGAATGCAATTCGTTTGATGCAGAATCAAACACACTGTTGAAAACGACGCAGTTAAATGATTTTGTGTTTCAAAAGGTTTATGGTTTATTGAACAAGAGGAGTTCTTATTGCTCATTCAATTTCGACCAATATGATTTTTTTAATAACTTTTTTGGGCTTCTTTATGGCAGCAATAAAGTTGGTTTTTGATGAATAATCAAATATTTAGGTTTTCAAGGACCCATGTTAATGACAGTTTAATTTAATGAAAGATAATTAATGTTGCACTCGGATGAGTGTTTTGCCCATGGGCTTTATCTGGGCCTTATGGATGGTTGTGATATAGCTCGTTCTCTGAAGTTTTGGGGATCAACTGTTTATAATTTAGTGAATTTACGGTCAAAGAATTGGATATTGAAGCTGTGTCATTTTGCGCTTACATGCGACACATGCTTAAGTTGATATTTGTGCTTCTCTGTGATCAGTTCAGTTGGAAGTATCTGCTCATTTTTTTTTCTGTTGAACTTGAAACATTTATTTACTCTCTCCTTCTCTCTAAACCTTTTCTCATGTTATTTTGATAATTTTGTTTTTGAGGTGGTTCTTAATGGGGGTCTTTTTTATGTGATGTTAGGTTCTGCAAATGTCCGGATGGGGTTTGCATATCAGCAGAATCCCTTTAGCATCCCCCACTATATTGCTTGGCATGTGAGAGGGGGGTCTTCTGATGGGAATCAAGAACAAAAAATGACAGTTCAAGATCAGGTTATAGAGGGGTCCAAACTACATCATTTTCTACCATGTCTGACGTAGATGTTCCTAACCATACATAACTATGTGTTTTCAATATGGATAGTCTCTCTAAATTGGGCTGTTGTTCCATAATTTATTGTATTTTTGATATTTAATGGTTAAATTAGAGAAATTATTCGTTTTAGAATTTAGATTTCTCAAATTTTAGTGAGTTGATTTGCTTTTGGGTTTTAGTTATCTTTTAGTTTTTAATTTGGATATTGGGTTTCGCTGGTATTGTGTTTTTCGAAATCAGAAGTTGGTGTCTCCAATTACGCCTGCACAGCAAGTGGAGCGTGAGAAGGGTTATGACAGTGTATGATTACTCTCCTACCATTTGTCATAGTTGGTGTGTATAGTGTGCATTTCGTATTTTCCTTCTGAATCCTTACATTGTAGCCTGATATACTAATCTAGGGCTGATCATTCACCTGTTCTCATTTCAGATTGCAGCAGAGCTGAAGATACCTTTTTTGGATGAAGAAAGTCGGAATGCTTTTGTTCATCGGAAGGTTAGCAAAGCTGAAAAACTACTGAATCCATTTGGTGAAATTTTCGGCAATCTAGGGCCTTCAGTGACTGAAAGATGTATTACAAATTGTTCGTTTTGGGGAAGTATCTTGACTTCTTATTTTTTACATGAAAATTATTTTGGAGTTGTGTTTTTTTTTTTTTTCTATTTTTAAGTCAAATTGGAATTGGATCTTGTAGCTTTTTTATAAAATTAGGTTCCGTAGGGGAGGTTATGCGGGGTTTCTTCTATGAACTGCTCTTTTGTTGAAACAATCTCTACATTATTGGTTAGAAACTGGAAATGTCTGACTATCAACTGATTTATCTGGTTGATGTTGGACATTGAAATGTCGTGTCAAAAGATTTTGTCCTTGAAATCTTGCCAAGGAAGGGCCTTACTTGGCAAGTTTGTAAGTGCATGCCGGGACATAACTTAAGCCTTTATGGCTCCTCATCTTTCTCTTGCACCATCTCCCTCTCTCTACTTTTCCCCTCTCCCTCCCCCCTCACTCCAAAACCCAAAAAAAAAGAAAGAAAAAGAAAAAAAGAAAAAAAGAAAAAAAGAGAAAAAGAGAAAAAGAGAAAAAGAGACAAAAAAGCTTTCTTTCCTTCCTTTCTCCTTCTCATCTCCCCATACATTTGTACATCTCAGTTTGTCTCTACTTATCTTTGAACACAACCTGATGTATACCTCTTTCAACTTATGTCAACCTATCCAAAAAAAGAAAAAGAAAAAGAAATCCTTGGGATCAGGCACACGATGGAAATTGTTTTCATGATTTCATTTGAATTGAGTAGTTTCTTTTCTTTTAACAGTGATTACTCTTGATGATATTAGTCGTATTGGCTTATGGATTTTTGGTGGTACGCTACGGTTTTCTCTATGAATACCTTTGAGAAGGCCCATTAGTATTTGCAAGTTCTGTTATGCATGGTGGAAAATATTGCCTTTGATTATAGAGGTTTGGATGAATAGCTTTTACATTTTTTTATGGTGTCTTATGAAACTTTCATTTTTGATGTAAGAATTAATGCAAAAGAAGAATATGTTTTTCAAAAATCCCTTGATTCGCTCGAGTTGGCTCAGCTTTGAGTCCCGAGTTGGCTCCGCTCTAGACACTATTGAGTCCCAAGGAAAAGCCTTTGGACTCACCTTGAGTCTCACCTTTTGACATTTTACTTTTTGTTAACTTTTATAGTCTCAGCCAAGGGTTTGGATCCTAGCATATCCCGGCCTAAGTCCTAGTTCTTGAACACTAAAAAAAATCAATAATGTCCTCAGTTGTTTAAAGGATCTAGTTTGTTTTGTTTGAAATCTTGTGACACCCTTGTCGAGTTTTACCTCTTTGATTGTCAAGTTATTTGCAAATCTAACTTATTTTCTTTTCTAATCAAACTTTGTTTGAGTGGCTTTTGGAGAAAAATCAAATTAAAGTGCTAAAAATAGGATCGTTTAAGAGTTATGTCCAATTAATATTGAAGAGTTGTAAACCCATGTGCGACATCTTGCCTATCTAGCGAATAGGTACGATAATCTGCTTGTTTTAACATTTGACTGGTTGATCAGATATGGGTATGGGTTTAGACCTGCTAGGTGGACTCAAGCGGAGTCGGTTCTAAGTCCATTTGAATGATCCTGACTAGGTTTGGGTCCACTTCACCTGGACCTGCCCTAGTCCAGGTCCAGGACCATCTTGGATCTCACCAGGTTGGGTTATGGCTGAACTCAC